TGGACTTGGGTTCCTCCCTTCTTTCATTTACGAGGCTTTACTCCTCCTGTTCTAATCGAGTTATTATTTACCTGATCAATAGATTCTTCAGTAGGAGCAACCATATCAGGAGAGAACACTACCTTCTCCACCTGCTTCAATGCCTCGTCATTATTTTCAATTTTCTGCAAAAACATTCCAGACTCATCGAATGTCACATCTCGACTATTAACAATCTTACTTGTTTCTGGACACCATAACCTATAGCCCTTCACGCCTTTGCTAAAGCTCATAAACTTGGCTTTTTTTGCTCTAGGATCCAGCTTTGAGTCTGTCACATGATAATAAGCAAGACACCCAAACACATGCAATTTTCTCAAAGAAGAATCAACCTCTAAACCATATCATAATCACTAACAGGAATACCCGACCATACCTCAAGCAGAGTTTTCTCACCATTTTCAGAAACAGGTAAACGATTCACCAAGTAAACTGCATAATTGAGAGCCTCAGCCCAAAATGCCTTACTCAATCCTGCTTGAGACAATATGCATCGAACCTTCTCTATTAATGTCTGGTTCATTCTCTCAGCAACTCCATTTTGTTGTGGCTTACCAGGAACAGTGAAGTGTCGAACGATCCCTTCATCTCGGCATACTTTAATGAATGGATCATAAGTATATTCACCACCGTTGTCTGATCTCAGCTTTTTGATTTTCCTGCACATCTGATTCTCTACCATTTTCTTACACTCTAGGAAGATTTGGAGAACCTCGTTTTTGTGCCTCATGGGATCCATCCAAGCTCTCCTCGAGTAGTCATCAATAAAGGTGACAAACCACCTCTTTCCCCCATGAGACATTCTTCATGGGACCCCATACATCAGTGTGAACATAATCCAAAATGCCATTTGTTTGGTGTATAGTTGTACCAAACTTTACATTTTTTTTGTTTATCAAATATACAATGTTCACATAAATCAATTTTACCAGTTGTGACACCCTTAAGGACTCCTTGGTTCACCAATGTCTGAAGCACCTTCTCACCAGCATGCCCAAGTCTCATGTGCCATAATTTCGATATGTCTTGTTCTTTCGAACTTGCCACAGCAGCATGCCCAATTATTGTGGTTCTGTTGAGGTAGTATATGCTACCTCTTCTACTTCCTTTAATTGATCGGGACTTTCCACATTCGCTCTTTTTCCAAGTAGAAGTTCTTCCTCGAGCAGTGAGAACATTTGAGCTAGAGTCTTGATATGCCTCCTTTTCCTTCTTTTGCATCTCATTATTTATTAAGGCATTTGAAACATCTTCAAAATCAATATCAGTGATTCCATGTAGTAGGGTCGTTACTAAAAACTGGTAGGATTCCCGCAAAGAATTTAATAACAACAATGCCTTGTCTTCGTCATCAATCTTAACATCAAGATTGAGCAAATCAGTGAAGAATTTGTTAAAATCATCCAAATGCTCAGCCATTGAGATACCTTTCTTGTAGTCAAAACGGAAGAGTTTCTTGTTCAAATAGGGTTTATTTTCCACTCTTTTGCATATATTTCGCCTCAAGCTTGTCCCATAGTTCTTTCGCCATGGTCACCTTCATAAATGGATATTTCTTATCCTTGCCATCGAATAATTCCGCAAGCTTGCCGATTTAATTTCGTCCATTCTGCTTCTGTCATGTCTTCAGGTATCTCCTCTTGGAGAGAAACATCAAGATCTTGCATGACCAGCAAATCGCTAACTTCGTCTCGCCAAACACCAAAATTATTGGTTCCATCAACTTTCTCTACTTCGAGATTAGAACTCAAAAATCTCGATCCACGCCGTAATTTAATTCCAAATGATTCTGCCATTTGTAATAGGTAATATGGATGTAACTAAAAACACAATTCTTGAAAATTGATTTATAAGAAAATAAGCACGAATGTGAGCACGTCTAGTGGTCGATGAGGCCAAAACTTTCACAATACCCCAAATACCACAATCAGGCTCTGATACCACTTGTTGTGCGCCAAACTTAAAGTCCAATTGTTTATGTTCTCTGCTCGACGCACAACACGTGGTATTAGAGCCTGATTGTGGTATTTGGGGTGTTGTGAAAGTTTTGGCCTCATCAACCACTAGACGTGCTCACAATCGCTTATTTTCTTGAAAATCAATTTTCAAGAATTGTGTTTTTAGTTACATCTAGATTACCTATCACAAATGGCATAATCATCTGGAATTAAATCACGACGTGGATCGAGATTTTTGAGTTCTAATCTCGAAGTAGAGAAATTTGATGGAATCAATAATTTATTAATTTTGGTGTTTGGCGAGGCAAAGTTAGCGATTTGCTGGTCATGCAAGATCTTGATGCTTCCCTCCAAGAGGAGATACCTGAAGACATGACAGAAGCAGAATGGACGAAACTAAATCGGCAAGTTTGCGGAATTATTCGATCATATCTTGGCAAAGATCAAAAATATCCATTTATGAAGGTGAATGGCGAAAGAACTATGGGACAAGCTTGAGGCGAAATACATGCAAAAGAGTGAAAAATAAACTCTATTTGATCAAGAAACCCTTCCGTTTTGACTACAAGAAATGGTATCTCAATGGCTGAGCATTTGGATGATTTTAACAAAATCTTCACTGATTTGCTCAATCTTGATGTTAAAATTGATGACGAAGACAAGGCGTTGTTGTTATTAAATTCTTTGCGGGAATCCTACGAGTTTTTAGTAACGACCCTACTACATGGAATCACTGATATTGATTTTGAAGATGTTTCAAATGCCTTAATAAATAATGAGATGTAAAAGAAGGAAAAGGAGGCATATCAAGACTCTAACTCAAATGTTCTCACTGCTCGTGGAAGGACTTCTACTTGGAAAAAGAGCCCGGATACAACAGGGATGAAGTATGAGAATGCAAGTTCTTGAGCCCAGACATAGTGCAAGCAACTAATGCGGCTATTCAGAAGATAAGGACTAGAATATTTTCGACTCAAAGTAGACAAAAGAGTTATGTCAATGTGAGATGAAGGGATTTGGCGTTCAAGGTGGGAGACAAAGTATTTCTCAAGGTGGCCCCATGAAGATCATTCTTAGGTTTGAGAGCAAAAGAAAGTTAAGTCCACAATTCATTGGACTATTTGAGATATTGGACGAGTGGGACAAGTAGCTTACCGATTGGTCCTACCAACTGTGCTTTCAAGAGTCCACAATGTGTTTCATGTATCGATGTTGCGACTATATATAGCAGACTCATCACATGTGATGGATTTCAAACTCTTACGATTGGATAAAGGTTTGAACTATGAGAAAGAACCCATGTAAATTGTGGCTAGAGAAAGGAAGACCTTACATAGCCGAGAGATCGCGTTTGTCAAGATATTATGGCATAATCACCCGCTTAAAAAAGCCACTTAGAAACGAGAGGAGGAAATATGACTAAATACCTTGAGCTTCTTCAATTAGGGATGTAGCGCATACCTTACGCTTTTAAGTGAAGCTGTCGAGGACAAAAATCCCTTTTTGAATTCAGGGGAGAATTGTAAAGCCCAAGTTCTAGGCCCAAGGCCCAATACATTAAAAATAAACTCTAGGATTTAGCTACGTATAGTCGAACCCACAGTCAGCCGCCCACCTCACAAAGCACGAAGCAGATGAGTCAACCACTCACAAACCCTAGTCGCCGCCTTTTCCTTCCTTTTTATCATCATCTTCTTCTTTAAACTTTCGCCACCGTCCATCGCTCACGTCGTCCCACCCCGCCACCGCACGTTGAACGACCACCACCAATCCCCATTGCACATCAAATAACCATTGCCACTCACCCACGTTGCCATTGCGAGTTTCACCGCCGCCGTCGTCGAAACAACCATTTAAAGGAGCAAACGGTGAATTTTCATGTGACTTGTTCTTTGAGTCCAATCTCCATTTTGAATGAACCATACCCTTAATGTTTACCTCTAAATGTCCATATAGTAATCAAGGTACAACGCACCAACCAACAAAATTACAACGTGGTTTCTTTTCTAGATAACGAAATTACGTTGTCGAAATTACAACGTGGTTTTCAAATAACCAACCACTAATTGTCACTCTGCAAAGTGAATGCATAAAATGGTTATCAAGATAAGGGTTACATATTATGTGAATTGGGTAACCAGACATTAATTATTATTTTGAGTAAAGATGTTGGTTGATTCATGTGATAAAAAATTACACGCAATGTGTTTCGGGTAATTAATCACTAAGGTCCCTCGATTTTGTATGATCATCATATGATGGTTTGACCCCAATGTGAAAGTTGTTCTCACTTATTTTTAAAATGATTGTCAGGTGAAGTTGTGGCACGAAAGTGACGAGCAAAGTGGAAAAGCCACTCAGAGAATTTTATAATTTCATTGTAAGACATTTTCCCATGGTCAATTGTGTCGGAGAACAACCGAACTTTTGGGAACTAAGGAGTCAATTTTAGTTTAACTTTTGGTTTTAAGTTTTTGTCGTTGAATTGCATGTCTTTTAAAGGTTACCCACGTATGATTTTAATAAATTACTTCCTTTGCATATTTTTCATTTATTTTAAAACGGTAAAGTCACTCAAAGAAAAATCGAGACGTTACAGTTGGTATCAAAGCAAGACATTGGGTAGTGTGTCAGGAGGACGTTGAGCCCCAAAGGGGGTGGATACCTAATGGTGTGCCAGCAAGCATGCTGGGCCTCGGAAGAGGGTGGATTGTGAGATTTCACATTGAGTAGAGAGAGGAACGAGGGATTTTGAGATCCCACATGAATTAGAGAGGGGAACGAGTGTCAGCAAGAATGCTGGACCTCGAAGGGGTGGTGGATTGTGAGATCTCACATCAATTAGAGAGGGAACTAAACCTCTCCCTAGCTTAGACGTTTTAAAAACCTTAAGGGGAAGCCTAAAAAAGAAACTTAAGATAATATTTGCTAGCGGTGAACTTATAGAATTTAAATAATGGTGCTCCAGATAACATCCAAACCAAGAATATAAGTATAAGCTCATCATTAAATTTGAAGTTGACTGTAGGAAAAGATAGCTCGACCCTCGAGCACATGGCGATAGTTTAATATCTAAGACAATAACATGCAGAGACGAAACTGGTAACAGTGGCATCATCAAGACGCTACAGCCACACCCTGTTTGAGGCCCCCCATAGATCTTCAGACACATAAAGAACAGAGTTTTCCCAATGGCAGTCTATAACTAATGAACAGCTATAATGATATCATCTAGGTACTATACGCATCTTCAGAGCCTCAGAGCATCTATTGATTCATCCTTAAAAGCAGTCTTAGTTGAGGATTTAAGCTGGTTGTTCTACGAGTTATGACTAATTATGTTTTCGATCCCGATTCGTAGCTAGTTCTCATCCTCATCAAATAGAGAATGCCTTTCGAAACGAACCCGACTTTTTTCATTCATTATGAGAACTATTGCAGGGCTTCAGTTCACACTGACATGAAGATAATGCTATAAATGTATGGATGATATGCATTTTTCCAAGTACATAACCTAGAGAATTGGAATTTTGCATACTTAGCTTTCAAGACTGAGTTGAAGACGACCGAGTGCTGACTTTCGCGTTGCGATACTCCCATAAAGCACTCCGTTTACTGTAGAGTTCCATTTATTAGATCTTGATAGCCAAAACAACCAGTAGAGAAGAATTGAGTAGTACATAAGGGAACAGCCTGAGTGAATAAGCTGATGCCAGATTCTGGGCAGCCTATCTAAGAATTAAACACGGTCGATCGAGCTAGAAGAAGGAGAAAAGAAAACGCGTCGTCCAGAATAACCATCAAAATATCATCATCAGTAGTTAAGGAATTCAAAGGCAAAGAGTATAGGATGATCAAAAACCAGGACAAGCACCAAAAAACAGGAATTGAGAATCTGAATCCTAAACATAGAACAAATATTCAGCCATATACTTCCAGAAAGGCACCATTGAAAACTATAGTATGTAATTGTTCTGATCGACTTCTCGCTAATTAGAGATGCAAGAAAAATGAGAAGGGATCCAGTAAAGCGTAAGAGAGAACCTGTTATAATGTTGGAGACATGGTAAGCCATGAAGAAAGCTTTTATCTCATCCTGCTTCAATCTTTGCTGAGATGCAACAAGTTAAAAGGTATTAAAAATGGGGGCATCTCAATATGCACCACCACAAACTTTCAGTACAGTCATCATCCAATCCTTGGAAAGGAGACCTATCTTTATGAGAAGAAATGTAACAGCCCGAGTCCGCTAGTTATTGACCTTTTTGAGCTTTCCCTTTTGGGCTTCCCTCAAGGTTTTAAAACGTGTCTGCTAGGAAGAGGTTTCCACACCCTTAATAAGAACATTTCATTCCTCTCTCCAACCGACGTGAGATCTCACAATCCACCCCCCTTCGGGACCAATGTCCTCGCTGGCACACCGCCCGGTTTCTGACCCTGATACCATCTATAACAGTCTAAGTCCACCGTTAGCAAATATTGTCCTCTTTGGGTTTTCCCTTCTGGGCTTTCCCTCAAGGATTTAAAATGCGCAGTTAGGGAGAGGTTTCCACACCTTTATAAGGAATGCTTTGTTCCCCTCTCCAACTGATGTGGGATCTCACAATCCACCCCCCTTGGGGTCCGGTGTCATCGCTGGCACACTGTCTGGTGTCTGGCTCTGATACCATCTGTAATATCCCAAGCCCACCACTAACAAATATTGTCCTCTTTGGGCTTTCCCTTCTGGGATTCCCCTCAAGGTTTTAAAGCGCGCTGTTAGGGAGAGGTTTCCACACCCTTATAAGGAATGCTTTGTTTCCCTCTCCAACGGATGTGGGATCTCACAATCCACCCCCCTTGGGGGGCCAGCGTCATCGCTAGTATACCGTCCGGTGTCTGGCTTTGATACCATTTGTAACAGCCCAAGCCCATCGCTAGCAGATATTATCCTATTTGGGCTTTCCCTTCTAAGCTTCCCCTCAAGGTTTTAAAACACATATGCTAGAGAGAGAGTTTTCCACACCCTTATAAGGAATGCTTCGTTCCCCTCTCTAACCGACATGGGATCTCACAAGAAAGAGATCGCACCTAGAACAAAGCGGTTCACCTCTTCGTCACGAAGAGAGGGAAGAACTTTTCTTCCAAAAGAGAGAGAATAGAAAGCAAACCAAGAAGAGAAGAGAAAAGGAGAAACTGTGAAAAGTGGAGCAGTGGGTTAGTCGGCAAGCATATTTGGTCACCCTCTTGAAAGATAAGAGACTAACAAAGGGCAAAACGATCATCAAGTAGGTTGAAATGTGCAAGTTCTCACCCACTCAATGTTACTCTTCTTTATCCATTACATTCTCAAAGCAACAATCCCAAATAAATTGGACAGAAGAGACTAATAAGACATTATCATCTCCATAGAACAAAAAGACAAGACAATTTCATTAACACAGATGGTGAGGATTCAAGATACAATGATATCCAGATAAGTTCACAACTTGCAGAAATATAATATATACACAAGGAACAGGGAACAACGACAAGATCGATGAGAACTTTATATACACAATAACATCACGAAGAATCAATAAACTAACATGAACATAAAAATCAATGCATAAAATACGACCACTGGATGCTACCAGTTGTCTCTAACAATTTTTGACTTTTCAAGAATGAACTTCCCTTCTTTATACTTCTGCGACGCCTCATACGCCCTCTCGTATTTCCACCCGAGCACCTCACGACAGTCGACACAATGCACATCAGCAACAGTGTGGAGACCCGTCATGAGATGCCGATCTTCCTTCGGTCCCACTGTGATGTTCATAGCATGAGAGAACAGAAAAGCACGCCCATGTCTTCCCTATGGAGAAAATTCAACACAAAACAGTATTGGATAATGAAAAAGTCAAGGGCAAAGTTTCAGAAATGCATTTGAAATCTTCAAGTTCATAAGAACCTAAACTTCTAATTGGGGTTTGGGCGATTAGCAAACCCTTTTGAATTGATGATCAAACACACACTAATAAGACTAAAGCAATCAATAAAAGGCTTAGGTTTCAATATCATCACCTGAAAAGCTTTAGAAATAATATCATCGTGCAACGCAACATGGTTTCTACAATTACAGCAGCTGTATAAACGAGGCCCCAACAGTTCAGCCATTGATCAAACAGATAAAAGCCCTAAACGCTTCTCCTCCTAAACAATCATCAAATCAAAAGGTTAAAAGAGATTCAAGGCTTCCATCAAGAAACCATGAGATGTGGATAATCAAAAGCTCAATAAAGGGAGTTTTTACCTACGATGAATTCAATGGTGACCCAGAAATCTGCAGAAAAAGATGAGCAATCAAAAAGGGGTTAGCGTTCAAATAAACAAATAACATAATGAATCAGAGATAGGGTGAAGATTTCAACAAATAAGACGGAAAAGAAAAGGGAAAAAATAATAGGGAAATAGATGTAGTGAGAGACTGAGCGGGACAGGATTATGAGGGGTAAAGAACAAGAACACCAATAATGGTGTGAAAGGATCGTACCCAAAAGGCAAGACGTGGAAATCCAATGAATCAAAGAAAAAGGAGAGAGGGAAGAACCTTAGGCCCTAGGGTAAGGCGATGAATCAAAGAGTAGATATACATTTTTTTGGTCTCTTGAGTGAGTTTAGCTTAAGTTCTTAACAATTTAGTGCTAAAATTTTGGATTTGATTTTTATTTTTTTAAAAAAATATTCTCATATCTTCATATCTTCTTTTCTTGGTTCATGATCATCATCATCCCTATCGACATAGTTCATTGCGTCTTTTCTTCTTCTTCCGTGTTAAAAAAGTTCAAATAAAAACACTGAGAAAATACTCTTTATTTCACGGTTGCTAACTTCATTTAGATCTCTTTAGGTTACGCTCTTTTTTTTTCTTTTTCTTTTTCTTTTATTTTTTTGTTAGAAAATACCCTTCATGTGATTGACTCTAATAATGGTCTAAAGTACTACAGACTTTTTAAGGCTTAAGTTGGTGTCGATTAAATCACTATATCAAGAGATGTCCATTTGATGTAGACTCTCCCTAAATGAAGTAGGGAATCTTTATTTACACCGAAAAATTGGGAGAAGAGAGTGGGGAGTGATTTCTCCTAATTGGGTAACAGGGTTTTAGACTTGAACTTGAAGTTATTTCTTCTACCAGTTTCACTTTTTATATATAATCATAAATATATTTATATATGGTATATGTTAAAATGATATTTTAACAATTTAACAATAAAATTTGAGTTTTTAAAAACTACACTCAAATTATATTATATTTGTAGGGAGATGTTTTACTTTTCTTTTTTTTTTAATTAAATTATATTAAAAAAAATAAAAAAAATTGAAATATATATATTTAAATTTGGATTTTTTTTTTTTTATCTCAACAAAAATAGAGGGAGAAATTAAGATGGTGGTTTCGTGGAAAGGAGACAAGTAGATAGTGGGAGAGAGATGTTTCTTCATTTTCATTATTTATTTATTTATTTATTCTTAAACCGGAAATTAAGATCACATTAAATTATTTAATAAAAAATTAAATATGGAGGGTGATTTGTTGGATGGGATAAAGCTTAGGAGGAGTGATCAACAAGGAAGCAAAATCAACCAATCCAGTTCAGTTTTTATTCTTATTAGGTTAGATTATTAAATAATATTATTAATTTAATTATACCAAATTTTAAAAAGTTTCTTTTTCAAAACAATTTTTTTTTAAAGCATGTACATAAAGTAAATTTCAAAATCAATAATTGATATGGTTAAATCGGTTAAAAAGAAAATGTTCAAGTTTGGAAATAAATTGAAACTAATTCTAATATTTTGTATAATTAATTTTATTCTTATTATCCCAATTAAGTCATTATTATTTATATTATTTAGTGAAGGAATAATATTCTTATTATACAACCAATTAAGTGATTATTGTTTATATTATTTAGTGAGGGAATAATGTCTAGATAAGTTGAATTATTATTAATTTTCTTTAGGTTTATTTTAATTCATAAACCCTAAAAATAAAAATAAAATAAAATAAAAAAAGCTTTCATTTACTGGAAGAACTTTTTCTCCCCACTTAACTGTTTCCCTTTTTAAGGTTCACTTTTTTAATAATTTTCTTCAATATTTTATACCTAACTTATCTTCTTCTTTTTTGCCATTTATTATTTTACCAATTAATGAAATGCCAATTTCAAACATTTATAGCAATACTATAAGGGCTAAATTTATACATTTATTTTACTACTAGTATTGAATTTCATCTTCTATCTTTCTAAAACAATTAGTTTTTTTTTTTTTTATCATTCAAATAAAGTGAATGTCATTATAAAAACAGTATTTGGAAGATCATCAAAATACAATTTAAACCAATATATAATTTTATCAACCAAATATATAATTTTGAAGATTTGAGAGATCATCAAGTAAAAAAGAATAATAATTTTAAATGACCTGTGAGCTCATATGACATCTAATTAACTTTAAAAATAGTTAAATAGAACACAAGCTAACCGGAACTAACTGACATGTACTATTTCTTTTGAAGTTCGAAGTTCAAATAATAAAAAATCGCAGAAAGAAGGGTGAAACTAATAAAAAAAAACTCTTTGAAGAAACAGAAGCAACCACACCACAATCAAACCAGTGTGAATCATTAGGTTAAGAGAGAAAAAAAAATGATGACACTAATTAGGCAAAGAATGCATAACGAAAACTTGGAATCTTTGATGAACAAGTACAGATAAATCCAGGGTTGATGAACTCGGAAAATTCTCCACAACAATGGCTGAGGAGATCCCTAAACAACCTACTACTTAAATGACTTATGAAGAAACCAAAAAAAATTGATGAAAACAGAAATTGTAAACTAAGCCTTTACCCTTTCAATTTGTTTTCTTGGATGGGCAGACCACTATTCGTGTACTGTTTCATTCTTCAAATATTGTACCAGCAGCTACTCAAGAAGGAAGCTGCTGCTGCTGCTGCTGTATACAGATGAATTCAAGGGTTCACGTCCTGACCTCCCAATAAGTACCGGTGGTCCATCCTTCTCGACATCACTTAGATGTTTAAAGGATCGGTCTCAGTATTCTTTACGTTTATTCCCCATTCAACACTCTCTGTAACACGATCCAGCCAACAGAATTAAGTGTTAGTTTAATTCATGATATGTTTCAAACAAAGTGTGTATGTGTGTTTTTCTCCTCTCTTCTGCGTCACGAAGTGTGAGATCTCACATTGGCTGAGAAGGAGAACAAAACACCCTTCAAAGTGTGGAAACTTCTCCCTAGGCGTTTCGTTTTAAAAACTTTAAGGGGAAGTCCAAAAAGGAAAACCCAAAAAGGACAATATTTGCTAGCAGTGAGACCGTGGACTGTTTCATGAGGTGTCTGGATAAGAAAACGCTTAAAAGTACTTTTGAAAACATGGAAGCAAATATTAAAATCATTTGCTATAAGAACACCTTTAACGACGTGTTTATGTTTAATGTAATTTAGCTAATACGTTTTAAAAAGGGCTCTCAAAATACAACTTTACTAAGTGGGGAAGTATAGTTGGATTATTTATCAACAGAAACTGAATCTAACAAATCATTAGCAATGCAAAAATCTTAGTATTTGAACAATATACTTACTTGGTTTCTCAGCAATTGTCTGAAGCCGCCTCTGTAAAATCGATGCCACAAAGAGGAAAATAGAGCACATGCCAAACATCACAGTGATGGGGAAAGCATCCACCTTCAAATACACAAAAAGAATAATAACAAAGGTAAGTGACAATAAAAAAGAAGTGGGTGTTAATATTATTTTTTATGGCATCGATCCAGCAATTGGGTGAAATTTGTCACATTTGTTTGGGAACTGCTTGAATGCAACCCAAAAGTTAAAGACGAGCAGACAACATTGAAAATAGAAAGCTCTTCCCTGCACATGCTAACGACTGATGGCATTATATTCTTCATGTCAAACAATATATGGAAGGTTATTCAGTGACATACATTGTACAGCACCACACACACGAAGATGTTGAGGGGAATGCGGAAGAAGTTCATGATGGTGCTTCTAGCCTCCTCAGGAATGTACTGGGATCTCATCTTCATTATGGAAGGCCAAAATATACCAACACAGGCCTCAAAAGCACAGAAGCCAAGCAGCTGTATACAGCCTGCGAAAGAGATGCTTCCACCTTTCTCACCTGATGGAGCTACCAAGAACTGTCACAACCAGAAAAGTCAGACAAAACATAAACAAGCATTAATGAAAACCAGAACTAACTACTAAGTGGAGAGAAAATTTCCTTCCACATACACTGGTCACGATCGGAAGTACAAGAGAGGCAGAAGAGACAACGAAAACAATCTGCATGTAGCTCTCAACTTTTGGTGAATTTCGAGCCATCAACCTAGATGCAAGGGAACTTCCGAGCATTGAAGCCAACATAAATGTTGCAAAGATAAAGCCATGGGGGATATCCTCATTATTTGGGCTAAGAGCAGGTGTCCAGAGGAACACAAAGGTATACATCGAACCTTCAAATAGAGATTGAATAGCACCCAGCAGAGCGATCTTCTCATCTGATCCACAGAAAATTTAAAATGATTTCAGATATCTTCAAGAAAATTAGTCAGTTCAGATTCTTCTCTTTTTAAGGGGGAAAAAAAAGAATAAAGGGGAAAAATTCAGTGGACTTATTGTATGGAGTAATGCTTAAAACTCCTGTGTGAACTGGAGATATTGAATTTATAAGATTGCTTTTTTGAAGTATTTATTAGTGGCGTGGGATTTAATTGCAAAATACTAAGGAATTAAGCTTTCAACAGTTCCCAGATTTTGCAGAATTTAAAAAGAGAGAACCGCATGGGTAATGCTACTAAATAATATATGCAGTCGAAGAACGTGTTTCATGCAAAGCTAAAATCCTTGCTAAGCATTGGACTTTCAGGAAATGCAATGAACTAAGAAAAAGATAGATGAATGAAAATCCGAGAGAATACCAGATGCGATGGCAACGGCAGCACCCCTGAATTGGGTAAGCAGATCCTTATTCTCTGATATATCTCCATAGTTCTCAGTCCAAGATGACATAATAATGGCCATACCAATTGCAAGAAAGCATGCAGCGGCATCAAAAGGTGCCACTGGTCCAAGAGATAGACTATCAACAAGTACATTACCAAACAACCCAGCAAGAATTGCAATAAGACCATTGCCGAGGAATATAGCCTTTGAGAATGTAATCGACAACCATTGCTGTTCAAAGCCCCTCTGCAGAAAGGATAGAGAATCGAGCAAGAAACATGTTAATATTATTTAGAATTATCAACCAATGAGCACAATCAGTGAGAATAATCATTAGCGGGACACAATTACAAGAATTAAGCTAATTAACTAGGGAAAGAGAAAAAATTCTCCAAAAAGATTGTTACACTGCATCTTAATGAAGATGAGGTTCCATACTATTCATAGAATCAGTCGCATTAAGGTGACAAGCGTTCAAGATGGAAGAAATTATCTGGCTATGATATCATGTTCATGGGCCAAACCAACTGGCAGAAAACTCTTAAGTATTTAACTAGTGAAATAACACTGTAATGAAGTGGAATAAGAAACCAGGGGTGCGTCTATGGACATTTCTACCGTTAATTACAACATCCGCTAACTCAATTTGTAAAAGACAATGACAAACATTAGAGCTTATTGCTGTGTATAAGGTCTACGTTGATAGGTTGATGTAAATTTTATTATTGATTCATATTCTTAACATGCCCAGTTGTTCAGCAGAAAACATCATATAAGCAAGCTAAACAGAATTTAAAGACAGTGGCATGGAATCCTTGCCTTATTGTGCTCTGCAACAAGCCATGACTCAAATGCTGAAAAGAGGAGTGAAGTGGCAATACCTCCCAAAACACGGCCCAACATTAGAACCTTGTATTGAGGAGAATGCTTGGTGATGCAACTCAGAATGTATGTAATACAATAAGTAATGCAAGCCCTCCTTCGACCTCTGAATTCAAAAACATGGATGCATCAGTTATTATAAAGAGGTTTCCCTCAATAAATTTGATGACGTCAACCAATGTTGGAGGTAAAAGAAAATGACTCACTGTTTGTCAGCAAGAGAACCAACAATTGTACCAAACAACATGGAGGACCCAAAACCAGCAATGAAAAGCTGACCGATCTCTCCTTTACCAAAGCCATACTGACTGTAAAGGTAGTATACGTATGGTCCCTGCAACCAGTCCCCAGCTGTTGCCGCATAACCAATAACACATTAGATAAATCATTACACATGACATTGATGGTCATAACAATAAATGAACACAGATTTTCAAGGTAAAAAAAAAAAAAAAAGACAAAAGGCAGTGCCATTGTACACTTTAAAGGAACGAGCACATAGCAATCATTTCATATCATGAACCGTCGGTAGATCCAGATCCAATGCTCAAACAAAGAGAGGTAAGAGAAAAAATAATCGGCATCTCCAAGACACAATCTCAACCTATCAGGAACCAATTACATCTCTAACTGGAATAATTACCGCTCTGTCCTCTCTTAGTTCCACCACTTCTCAACGCGAGAAGATCACCAACAAAATGCGCACAACTCTCAACTAAAACCTCAACAATCAAATCAAAAACACAGATCGAAACAAAATAATAACAACACTACAGTAAAAAACGAAACAAATTCAGATCACACCGAACGGAATCAAGAACAGAGATTCACGCAAAACACAAACACGAAAACGAAAAACTCACAGTTACAGACAATGATTAACAAGAATTGAAGGAGATCCGAGTGAAAAACGGAAGCAGATCTGGATGGAAATTAAAAATCAAAATACGCACCCATCATGAGAGAATAAACGAGAAGGTAATTGTTCTTGAAGGAATTGAAAGCGGAGGGCGTATTGATCCGGTCCTTGTTGGTTTTGCTGAGCTCCAGAGCTGCAACAACTAGAGACATTGTTCCAAACACCAAGAAGTAGAAAATCTCCATTGTAGCAGAATGAGAGAAAGAAGCTCCCCAACGGGCGTCCCTCTTCGTACAGAGTGTGAGAGATTGAAATGGCAAGGGAGAATGAAGATGAAGGCGTTTGTTATATACTTGGGAGTGTGTTAAATTAATTACTCAATCCCAATTTTAATTAATTTTTCATTTTATTTTTTAATTTAATAATAATTATTATTATAGCTATTTTATTTAATTTAATTCCCACGACTCTTCAAGTATTTCCGAATCTTTAATTGTACGTTTGACTTTTGTGTTAATAAATCGAAAAAAGTAATGAAGCCAAGCGCGGGCGTATTCGTGACGCCGTAGTGGATTATAACCCACCACGCGTTTTGAGAGCTGATGTGGATTGATGGACACGTGGCTGAACATTCTCCGTCCGATGGGGTATGAAGTTGTCGGTGGGGATTACTTTCCTTCGCGCGTAGAACTTATACGGTGGGTCACACGCGCGGGATTGGATTATCTCTCTTTATGTGAATTTGTTCATACGATGTGGATGTGCAACCAATGAATGCAGATTACACTCCTTTTTCTTTTATTTTATTTTTTAAAAATCTCCTTTACGTAATAATAAATAAATAAAAACTAAATTATATAACAAATCAAGATTAAATTAAAGACAGGCTGGCATGTCAGCTCCTCATAGTCACCTTATGAGCTTACATTTAAAAAATAAAGTATGAAAAATCAAAACGTTATTAAACAAGAGCTTTATATTTAAGACCATTTTTCATTCGAGTTGAAATTTATCTTTATTCTTCAAAAATAATTTTAATTGCTATCATATTCGTTAAATATTACAAGTAACTTCTGTTCTTTATATGAATGCTAAGTATTTGTTCAGGATGTGTAACGTCTCCATGATTAAGAAATTCTCCTACACTATGGTTACGTTACTTGCTTCTACTCCTCAGGAGAGTCTTTTTAACATGTTTTTGTTCACTCACTTAGTGCACATGACCCAACATATCTATAATTGACCACAGAAAATGAAGATGAGATGCATTTTGTGTCACGGTTCTACTACTTTTCAACCGTGCGATATTGTGATCTTGACATGTTCACGTCCAATTTTAAGGAGAACTCAAACCTCATTTCATTTTTCGTCCGAATTTTGTGGCTTCGTTGAACCTTAGGTGAGGTTTGTCTTTGTTAACCAAACATCACTTGTGTGAAATCCAAGTTTGTTCGGTCACACATGCCGCCTATGCGTGTGTGTTTAATTATCTATGACACAACCAACTTGACCCTACACTAGGCCAAGTCATTCGGCTCGACCTTACCTCTGCTCGGGGCTAAGGTCCCTCAATGCAATGTCGCATCTCATCCAACATCATCTTGGTTCACAATTAACATGACCCTCATGTCTTGACATCTCCCAAGTCACGAGGTGCCATCGGCCGTCGCAACTCACTCGGTCATGCCATCGAGAATGGTCCCATGATCGTTCATAATCTCGGGACATCTCAAACATCCATCCATCCAGGTTCAGTCGAGGCATTGACCCTCTTATGCCCATGTCATGTCATTTACAGATATTGTACCGAATAGTAGGTGCATAGTTTGAACCTCCACACACATGGGTTGGGATGCAATACCACACCCATGTCGTCGGTATTGTTCTTAAATAATTCATTTCAAAGAAAGACGTCCGATACACTCATCTCGAAACTCTCGTCCTCACTATGACACACACATCTACCACAAGGTAGCTTGCTTAGACCACAAGGCCCAATGGTGGTTTTGAGACATTTCCAAACTAGCGGTGTCGTACGTCCGCTGTCCAATTGATACCAAATTTTGAGAACTTTCATATTTTATATAGACGAAGCATGCCCAAATTCTCTTTGGAACCTCGATTTTTTAGATTTACGCTCATGGCCCTACTCGACCATTCATCAAGCTTGTATTTGACACTCTTGTCTACTCGTTGCCTTTATCTTGCACATGTCTTGTCATCTTATGTTCAATACTCACTTTGTGTGGCGTGTTAAACGATGCATTGTCCTCTTCTTCAGTCGTATCATGACACTCGTTTAGGCTCTCACGTGGCCAGATGTGCGCCACTTGAGGGTGGTTGCTTCTATTATAGAAACGTGAGAGTCACAACCTACACTGTTCGCTAATAACGTTGTGACACCTTGGTGGTATAAGAAGTAAGTTTCAATCTACCCTCCCATTTGTGAGCCTTCAAACCAGAATATTTGTTTTTTGTTTTTTTTTTTTTTGTTACATTTCTGAATTACTAGAATATAATCTTTGATTTTTATAATCAGTTCTTCTCCATAGAGTGAGAATTCAAACATTCTTCATTTTTTCTCAGTCCCAATTTCAAAAGCCCATACAGTTTTCCCATACTTAAATTATCTTTATAAAAGAAGCGTCTAGATCCGATCTCATCCTCATCATGAATCGCCGATCCACCGCCCGTCCATTTCAATCCATTCCGGTCCCTCCCCTCGCCATCGCCGCCGTAGATTTGCAGAGCAGTTATGATGGATTTCAAGGCCCGAGATGGCGAGCTCCGATTAGCTATCATGATCTCACCAATTTCAGCGGGGCTCATGCTGGCTCCACTCTGAAAAACCTCCTCCACCTGAGAGAAGAGCTTGTGATCCTTCACCCCCAAATGGCTTATAGCTAAAGTCTTGAAGGCCGAGAAGTCACACGCCGGAAAATGAAGGTGCACGTCCACCCGTCCCGGCCTCAGCGCCGCTTGATCGATCCCACTTTTGTCGGTCATCGTGAACACCACCACACGCTCTTCACCGCAGTACGATGCGATGCCGTCCATGAAGTTCAGTACACCCGACGCGCTCGTCGCCGTCGATCTCTTCATCAGATGCCGATCAAGATCCTCCACCAGAATCAACGACTTCGGCGTCGTTTGAAGCAGCAGGATCGTCATGTCGGAGTCGCTCGAGATTTTCGACATATCGATGCTGTAGATGTCGTACTGCAGAAACTTAGCCATAGCCGCCACGAAGCTCGATTTTCCCGTCCCCGGCTGACCGTAGAGTAAGAAACTTCGTTTCCACACACGGCCTAATCTGTGATAATATTGCTTTGATTTCAGGAACTGTTCGAGGTCGGATTTTACCTTATTCTTCAAATCGATGTCCATCACCACTGTACCGAATGTCGCCGGATGTGTAAACGGCACCGCCATCCAACGTCTTGCGCCGCCGTCCGCAGTGATATACATCTTGATTTCCCTCTTCTGTTGTTCAATCTCATCGGAGATCGAGAGGATGTGTTGGAAGTACTGACGGAATACTCTTCGTTTATCGTCCTTCCTCAGCTTTAGAACGAATGAAAAACTGCTGTTCTGCCGATGATGATCGCTATGCATCTCGAGTTTCCATCGGAGTTTCGCCCCGAGGAAGGAATCGTGGACGGTTTGATCGGAGTCTAGGCGGAGGACAATATCGCTAGGTTTTGCACCACAGAATAGGTTCGTGAAATTGGAATCCTCCAGAGAAGGTAAGGAATTAAGGTAGGCATGTACACGGAGGTAGAGTTGATTCTGCTGTAGATTCTCGTCGAATTGGGGAATTCTGAAGTATTGGTAGACATGGAAATAGTCTGTAATTGATTGAAAACCCTTGACCACCATGTACAACAGAGATGTTTTGGCTATAAAACGAAGAACCAAAACAAAAGCAATTGCGAAGAACAAGGAGGAAGCTACTGCTGTGCTGAAAACCGGCATGATCAAGAACAAGAAGATGAACAAACAAACTATGGAGGGATTTGGGCAGGAAAGAAATGGGGATTGGCCATTGAAGAAGAAGAAGATGGGAAGGAAGTTATTTTAATGGAAGAAGATGTGCTATGGGGTTGGGTCTGACCAGGGAGAGTTGAATTGAAAACTTCAGAGGGGAGGATTTGGTGGGTCTAAAGTATTCAACAGTGATTTGTTTAGTTTAATAACAACTTGTTTGAATTGAATTTGCAGAGGCGTGCGCGGCGGGAGGAAATGAGATGGATTAGAACAGAGAGATGGGTTTGAATCGTTCAGCCAAAGCCAGAAACGAAGTGCATCATCGGCCATCAAGAGGGGCAGCTCCAATACCACATGGTATGCCATCCTGCTGCTCCTCCTTTACAGGTTATTAACAAATATTACTTTCTTCTGCTGTTGGTTGTTTGGGATGTGTGATACTTATCCAAATAGCTGCCGATAAACCTTTGGATTTAGTTCAAACATGATAGGAAATGGGAGATCCTATGTTGGTAGGGGAGGGGGAGGGGGAGGGGGAGGGGAGGAGAAGAAACCATCCCAAATTTTGAGAAAAAACTAGAAAAAGAAAACTTAAAGAGGACAATATTTGTTGGGAGTGGTTGCGTCATTACAATTAGTATTGGAAAAAACCAAAAAAAAAAAAAAGTTCAAAGACTGGCAATATTTGTTAGCAGTGGTTGGGTCATTACAAATGGTATTAGAGTAAGGTATCTGACCATGTGCCAACGAGGAGGTTGAGCTTTGAAGGGGTGGATTGGGAGAGGGAGTGGACACAAGGCAGTGTGCTAATAAGGACGTTGGGCTCTGAAGGGGTGGATTGGAGGGTCCCACATCGATTAGAGAAGGGTGGGAGTGGACATAAGGTGGTGTGCCAGGACGTTGGGCCCTGAAGGGATGAATTGGAGGTCCCACATCGATTGGAGAAGGGAGAGAGTGGACATAAGGCAATGTGCGAGCAAGGACGTTGGGCCCTGGAGGGATGGATTGGGAGTCCCATATCAATTGGAGAAGGGAGAGAGTGGACACAAGGCAGTGTGCGAGCAAGGACATTGGGCCCCAAAGGAGTGGATTGGGAGGTCCCACATCGATTAGAGAAGGGTATGAGTGATAGGCTGAGTCTCGAGCTGTGTGTGTGTGAGAGTCATGTAAATCTATCAATATTGAGAATTCTAAATGTTAATCTAATTTTTTTACTTAATATTTAAAATTTGTGACTAGAGAGTATTAATTTTAAGAGAGAGACTCACCAATAAAAAAAAAAACTATTTTTTCCAAAATTTGGTAAAATGTTCAAAAGCTGGTCAACAAATTGGAAAACTAAGCAAATACATACGCAAATAACATTAGAAACAAAATTGTCGTATGAATGGATGAATCAAAGATTCGACCAACTTAATTTATTCTATTTTACATATACATTCTTATAGAAAAGTCACGAGTGGTTTGAGAATCTTATTCAAAGTCCAAATTGTTGTGTGGAATATTAAAAAAATCACACATTTTTGTTCCTCAATTCCAAAGGGAACAAGAAACAAGCAATAACCTATGAGACAGAGCCAAAAGCCAAGAATCAAACAAACAGATAACCTTAGATTCACAAACTTCCATTTCATATTATGCTTTTAACTCAATCAAATTCGAAGATGACCCAGTTCCATACAAAAACTATCGAACGGGTTAAGCCACGGTTTGATTTAAGCAACTTCTTAGATTTGAGACAAACCCTTTGAATTAAACCTGTGCTAGTTAATACGAGTCGGGAGAATCATTGATGATGTCAGGGATTTCATGAATCTCGAGTATCGGATTGTATATTCAAGATTTGGGAGACGACAAGCTTGGAGAGTTCACTTAGCAGCAGATTGAACCTTATACTCACCAGCTTCCCTGTGTCCTTCCCCCCACCCTGATGAGTTAGAGCTCAATCCAGTGTATTCGCTTGCAGCAACCTTTGTCTTTGTGGATGTAGCAAGAACCTTTTCCAAATCTGACTGTGACATTGGCCTTGGCTCCTAAAAACCGACATGTTATGTGAAGGTCAGTAACATTCCATGCCCTACTCATAAATAGTGAACGACCTCTTATTCGATCGCAATATAGAGACCCGAAACTTCGTCACAAAGACAGTACATAAACCCCTGTACCCTCAGACCCCATGTAAGTGAACTTTCATAATAATATCAATCAATCAAAAAGCTTCATTTTAAGAAATCAGATTGTCTAGCTATCATGTTGCTAGCAGATCCTCAAAGGAATACTTTCATGAGTCACTTTCCTTTTCACCGTCCGTTATCTCTACAAGACAATAATACGCAGTAGATGAACATGTCATAACACAATATACCTATCTTGGCTCTGCAAAGATGAAAACACAGGACATGTGTGAGATTCCACATTGGTTGGAGAGAGAAACAAAACATTTTTCATGAGGGTGTGAAAACCTCTTTCTAACAGACGCGTTTTAAAAATGATATCAAAGCTAGACACCAGGTAGTGGGCTTGAGTCGTGACAAATGGTATCAAAATTAGACACCGGACAATGTGCCAACGAGGACGCTGAGCTCTGAAAGGGGGTGTAGATACTGGGCGGTGTGCTAGGGAGGACACTAGGCCCCAAAGAGGGTGAACACCGAGGGGTGTACCAAGGAGGACGTTGAGCCCTGAATAGGTGGACACCAGACAGTGTGCCAGGAAGGAGTTGGCCTCAAAGGTGTGGGAGGGGGGGTAGATAGTGATATCTCACATCGATTAGAGAGAGGAACGAGTGCCAGCGAGAATGCTGGGACCTGAAGGAGAGTGGATTGTGAGATCCCACATTGGTTGGAGAGGGGAACAAAACATTCTTTATAAGAGTATGGAAACCTCACACTAACCGACACATTTTTAAAACCTTGAAAGGAATCTCAAAAGGAAAAATACAAAGAAGACAATACATGATCCATTCAAATATCTCAACGCCAGCAGAGAGAACAAAGAACTAAACAAATGGGAAGGAAAGAGACGAGGTGACGAGGTGATAAAAGTACTCACAGAAGATTGTTTCCCCTTCTTCTCTTCATCAAGAAGATCCCTGACAGGAAAATAAGCAGCTTTCTTGCATAGTTCAAGAATATCCGAACCCGTGTACCCCTCACACAACCTTGCCACACACTCATAGTCTATATTGCTTTCAACCCGCTCACCCTTCAAAATCACCTTTAATATCTCTGCTCTTTCCCTCCGGTCAGGTATTCCAATCTCAAAAGCTTGTGGAAGACGCCGAAGTATAGCTTCGTCCAGTTCGGACGGGCGATTCGTAGCAGCAAGAACCATCACACGAGCAGTCTCTATAAGAATAGATATGACATATCAAAACCAAAGAGCTGCTATTATGAATAAAGAACCAGAAAAGAAGTACAAAATAGGCCAACTATGACTAACGATCTGTGGTAAATCCATCCCATAAGGCCATGAACTCGGTCTTCATGTTCGTCATTGCTTCATGATCTGTAGTTCGTCGCTGACCCAGAAAACTATCGACTTCATCGATGAATATAATAGCAGGCTGGAGCTTATAAGCCAAGCTAAACACAGCAGCCACTGAAAAGTCATGTCAGGCAACAACCAATCAAGCATAAATAGTTGATAAAGAACCCCAGAAAAGCATCAACAAGTCCCTAGACTAACCTAGCTTTTGAGCATCGCCAAACCATTTGCTCATCAGATTTGAAATTCTGACATTAATGAAAACAGCACCAGACTCCTTTGCAATAGCTTTTGCTAGCATTGTTTTCCCAGTACCAGGAGGTCCATACAACAGAACTCCTTTCTGGGGACCAAGAAGCTTCCCAGTTGAAAATAACTCAGGCCTCTTTAGTGGAAGTATCACCAATTCAATTAAAGCTTGCTTGATTCTCTCCAGGCCTCCAATGGAGTTAAATTCCACATCAATGTGATCAGGGTTTATAACATCACAGGCAATCACATCCTGGTTAAAATGTAAGTAAGCAACGAGTAAAACAAGAACAAGAGCGGTTAGAAATCACGAATCTCCACAATGGTATGATATTGTCACTTTGAACATAAGCTCTCGTGCTTTGCTTTTGGTTTCCTCAAAATGGCTCATTCCAATAGAGATAGCACTTGCCACTAAATTAGTCAAGGTGGGACTCCCTCCCAACCATCCTCTTAATTAGTCAATGTGGGACTCCCTCCCAACCATCCTCAACAAGAACAGAGGGGCAAACCCAATTGAATTCAACTCACAGATTTCTCAAATTGGAAACCCACATAACCAAATTCATAAAACTTCACAGGAATACAAGAGCATAGATAGATTGTTAACAAAAAGTAAAGAGGCGTGAAAATAAAAGACCTCGTAAGGGTTAGTCTGGATGAGAGGGCGGCCCAAGCGTTTGGCAATCTCCTTCTTGTGCTCAAGAGCCTTCTTGGAGGCCTCACGGTTGGGATCGAGGTGGCGTAGGCCAACGAAGAGAACCAAGCAGCTCAAGGCGGCGCTGGCTGCGTAGAGAACCAATTCCTGCACGAACCTCGTCTCGGACGATCTGCTCCTCATAAGAACTGGTGAAACAGGGAGTGGGCGCTCCCAAATCAGTTACCAGAAAAATGGGATTGAGATTCCCAATGCCCAAAAGGGAAGAAGAAATTGATTGAGGTGCGCCTGGAGAAGAAGGAAAAAGTCACCCATTATACTTAAATACGTAGACATAGTTACATCATTTTCCTAACTCACTATTTTTGAATGGATTACTCTATACTCTGTTTATGTAATTGATAATAGTATTATTGGTTGTCTTACACTAAGAAATTGTTCCTGAATTGAGCTTGAACACTTATTTAGTGCTTGCCGTCTTCGCTTTTTTTGTACAAAAGATCATAATTAATTGTACATTTGACATATCTTAAGATCTATTGAGCTGCAAAAGAGGCTTCTTTGCACTTTGCATATACTAATTAATTACTCCAACTCCATTTTCAAATCCGTTTGGTTGGTTCATGTAGATCTCCCCGTCCAACTCTCCATGCAAGAAAGCATTCTTCATATCCATCTGCCATAATTTCCATTCTTTATTTACCGCAAGTGATGGAGGAACTTGTAAGACAGTGATCTTCGCCATTGGACTAAATGTTTCATTATAGTCTAGATCATATTGTTGAGAGAACCCTAAAACTATAGTCCGAGCCTTGTATGTCTGAGTGATCCATCGAGAGTACACTTTATTTTGTAAATCAACTTGCAAATGATGGATTTGACATCTCCTAGTCTTAGTCTTGGTCTTGGTCCTAGTTTCCATGCTCCAAGGCTATAATTTCTTTATCCATTGCCTGTTGGCTCTTCATACTTCTTTGGCTCAACTTTGTCTTCTATAATAGCTTTATTGACGTACTTTGGATTTGACTTTTGGATTCTTTTTTATCGTCTAAGTTGTTGAGGCGCCATTTTCTTTTCACCGAGTTTACTTGATTGAATCACCTCTTGCTCACTAACATTAATGTCACTCAAATCTCTAGGCACATAAGCACTTAACGAATGTGTATAGTTTGCTCCTCCATCTTCTGTGGAAGAATTTCTTCAATGTTGTCCAACCACGGTAATAGTTCCTTCTTTGAGGGTCACCCCACTTCATTACACCACTCTGATCATCAATCGTGTGGTTTGAGTATCTTGAATCAATGTTCCAATCATCCTCGTAGTCGATATGTTCTCTCATCATCGCCATGAGTGTTAGCTCGTCTTCTTTTGTCACATATTGCCTTTGCATCCCATTCCTCCTACATCTCCATGTTGGAGGATGCCACATTGTTTTCGACAAATTTTTTTCCTGGAACAAGAATCCCTAGACACATGGTCATTCTTTTTGCAATTGTAGCAAATACCTTCAAATCTCTTCCCCTGAGAACTTTGGTTGTCGTTCTTCTAAGTTCTCGCAGGTTGTATAGCTCCTTATGACTTCTTCCTTTGTCACCATTTTTGTATCCACGTTTGGTAGACGACTTATTGTTGTTCTAACTTTCACTTGTGTAAGTGTTTCTTCTTCCCCCTCTCATGTGATGCCTCCCATTTGTTTAGACATGACTTCTACGCTGACTGACAAATTTTCAAACTTTACAATTGATGGTTGAGCGGGTCATCCTTATACAATAATAACAAAGCTTCTATATTCTGGTCGCAATCCGTGGATAATGATCCTCTTCATTCGAGCTTCTCCAATGGCGAACTTTGGGTCTGGTTTAGTAATCTCTCGACAATTGGATTTGACCTTGTGGAAGTATTGAGCAATTGTCATGTCACATTGTGAAATTGATAACAACTCGTTCTCCAGAAGTTGTAGCCTTGTATCGTTCTTCTTTGAAAACAGTATCACGAATGTGTCTCATGCTTCTTTTGGTGTCTTGTCATCCCAAATATGCTCTAACTCTCTTCTTCGATTGTGGTTTTCAAGGCAAACGTAGCTTTGAATGCTTTGATTCTCCATTAGCGCAAGGCGCCATTAGAATCCTCCTTTGGTAGCGTAGTTTCACTTCCGTCAACGACCCCCCAAAGGTCCTGTCCTTGTAAATAAGACATCATGCATGTTGCCCACGAGTTGTAGTTGTTGTTATTGAGTTTCTTGATTCCTCCAACAATTTAGAAATCACCTATCGTGTTAACTATACCTTGGTAATGCCAAATAAACTCCTTCGACACACAACTTGCAGAATCACAGACTACTCATGACATAAAAGAAACTCACTCA